CCAAAACTTTGTTTGCGTTTATATGTTATACTACCATTATCATTGCATTTATAGAATTATTACATGCTCCAACCAGTACTTTTATAGATTTCAGTGCAGCTTTATAAATAATACAGTATATGAATGTCTTAGATTAACACTGTTATAATTCAACTTAACTTGTGATCAATATAGGTAAGTGATGCCAAAGCCAGTAGATTTTCCTGTCCAGTTGCAGAAGGGATTGTATGTCAGCCTCTCTTTTGTCCATGTAGCATATTTAACATATCAACAGACTGCAAAATGTGTCATTAATTAAGACAATCCAAAAACAACAATGGGACTGCGCACTAACATTATAGGCCCTTGAGTTGGAGCTATCCATCTGGCTTTAGTGTGCACTGGGCAGCGCTGATGGATCATGCATTGAACTTGGGTCCGTTCACATCAATCACCTCCCCTGTCTCATCAGAGGGTCACCCCCACACACACAGGCCAGCAGCAGACAGCAGGCACGGTCTGGGCCACGTAATGTGACAACAAGCACAATTTACATCAAATCTGCAAACAATGCCTTTGAGGAGAGCAGCAGGAGGGGAATATCTACAGAGGGGTGAGCAACGAGAGGGTCATCAACACTGGGCTCAGTGATTATGATCCAGTCTGTAGTCAAAGATGATCAGATAAATGTCAGCTCCAACTACGTTATGTCAGTAACACTATATTATACTCACTCTATAGCATTGTGCTTACCTGACCTTTACAATGCAGCTAGAGGACTGAAACTATTCCGTTATAAATAAATGCCAGAATTAAAGTAATTGCATGAGATGCCCTTTATTGACATAACGATAACGATGTTTAATACCATTGTTTGATTTCGAGATTAGAGGCCTGGAAATGACAGATCACTCAATAGTTTTGAGAAAATATTTACAAACAAAATGTCTTTATCAAAGAGTAGTGTAACACTTATACTTAGCCACTGTCAGCAACAAAAGGCACAATAATAAAGATGTACACTTTGGAAGAGGACCTATAAGCTTGAGGCCAGGATGATGTTTAGATTTTACTAAATAAACTACTTGAAGCTTTGTTTAGAAGAGGGCGTTACACCAAATGTGCTATTGTGAGTTAGAAGTTTGCATTAATAGAGGGATGCAGTTGTACATAATTGCTATAGAATGATTTTTATTTTCACTATACCTTTCTAATGTGGAGCACTGCACTGCATAGACAGTAAATGAGTTTATAATATTTTCAAATCATACAATTTGGAGGAACCCATCCAAATCTGCCCATAACATACAGAGTTTATTGCCCATAGGCTGCTCTGAGTTAGTGTTATGTGGAAGCTACAGAGGTAACTTAACTCATTCAATACACAATGTAGATCTATTGATGAACAAGCTAAAAACTTAAAGTAATACAAAAATAAACCAAAGCATCCTTAGCATACCGGCACACAGCCTGTTAGCTGAACCAGTATCCATGTCCAAAGCATTTGCCTGTTTTCCTGGCCCGCCTCGTGGGAAAGAGGCTGGAAATGTCTGTTTTTGGAGCTGTGTATCTGCTTATTAGTCATCAAATGGGGAAGCTCCAGCATTTGTTCCTTTTCCTGTCGGCGCATGACACGCAGCCAGTCTTTCCTGGCTCGAATATGCCACAAATTCTGGCTGCTGATTTTTTGGCAGCAGACTCTGGTTATGCAATGGCTTCCGTCACTACAACATGAACGAAACAGATGATTGTTCCTAAACAGTCACCATGGACATGCTCCCACACAATGTGACATCACCAACCTCCGACCACTCGTGTGACGATGACAGTATGATCATATGGCAAAATCATTGTCAGCACTTTTTAACATCCTACTAGTATCCGAAAGTAAAACAAAAACATACACAGCATTACAAATTATCAAAAAGTAGAGGAAGGCTTTATGGAAATGTGACAGGCATAGAATATAGTAGATTCATTTAGATTATACTATATAGTAGTAATACTGTTACATTTCATTAGTTCCCACTTCCCACAGCCGACGCTAGGGGTCCCTGGCCATGTGCCTTTTTGCCTGAAAGGGGATTTAAATTTCTCAAGCCGTCACTCAAAATCCAGATATCTGAACATGGGGTATCTTTTGTTTTTCTCTTAAGAACTTTAAATATAGACAACTGACTACATAGATAATACATCCCCATACAGAGTTTACAAAATAAAAATACCTTAAGTAATAAACAGCAAATAGAACAAAAGGTCTCCGTTAACGCTACCTAAACAAATGGCCTACAATGGTAACAAGGGGAAAAAACAATTATTGAATGACATCTGAATCTGGCAGTGTTACTACCATTACCTCAAATAACCCAAACTACGAGGCAGGCGGCAAGCTTGAACAGGGCTTACTAAACATGCAGGTATTTCAAACATTTATATCCGAATACTGAATCGTTCATGTAGCTAACAGAGATAAAAGTGAGTCGAAGTGCCAACACAAACTCGCACCTAAATCCACCATGACCCCCCTGAACTGCGCTCTGACTGACACGGCTCAACCCTCACTAACGTGTATTTAGACATAAATATTGTTTACAAAGCTCTTGATTAATGGGTGTCCGTCAGCAGCTAATCCGATTGCTGGATATGTTTATGTTTTCAACTCAGTAAACACACGCCGGATTATGATAACCCTCATTTCAGTCGACCCCACTTTCTTTAGTCTTGTCAATAGACGCTTTAAATCCCGTCGCCCACCGCTAGCTTGTTAGCCAGGTTAGCTGCTAGTCAACAACGCTAACATGCCGTCGCGTTTCCACTATAAACTTTGGCTGTTTCACAGTTACAATGGACGGCGGCTTTAGTGTACATATTGATCTACGTACCTGCCATGGAACCAATCTTTACAGATGTCACACTCGATCATAAACCGGCTTACATCGTAGGGCTGCCGGCAGACACAGTACAGCGGGGCCGCCGCCATCTTCCTACTGTCCCCAAACAACGCAGGAATGAAGCGGGGCGGGGATTTAACCGGGCCTACGGAAATGCCCGAAGCTCCGCCGAGAACATCCGAGAGCCCCCACCAGGCAATCCCACTCCTGACGTCACTTTATTCACATTTATTTCCATCTGGGTTTTGTGTGCGTGGGCTTCCAACAATGGGCTAACTATTACTCAACAAATGAATTACGTAATTGATCTACCACTGACTTTTTGAGTAAGACTACCACCAGTGAAATGCATTAAAAACGTATTTTTCTTAAATTGAGCCAAGTCAGCAAGTCAGCAAGAGTTTGCTGACTCCAATAAAAATGTTTTTATGCAATTCAGTTTATAGATCACAGTCTAAAACAGGCTTAGCTGTTTAAGTGTAGGCTTATTCCTATTTGACGAAACACCTAGTACACTGAGAATATAAATAAATCTATCATCCATGTTTAATTGATATGGCAATTGACAATAAAAAACAGTTGAGTAATTAACACTACTCCATGAGGCAATCATAAATGTGGTTCATAGCGGGTTACTCTGTGGAATTAATACACATACAACCCATAACATAAACATTAGCTACTGTACTCAACCATAGAATACACCCCTGGTATGTCTCCATGGGACATGTCTGACATGCCCTACGTGCTTGTGTGTGGTGAATAGCAATGGGACTACCGACCTACAGCCTCCTGATCTGTGCGCTGACAGCACCCATCCCCCCACAAACCCATCTGTGCAGCTCTGCATAGGCAAACAGGCTTGGTGCATGCAGAGACGCACACCATTTAAAAGCACATGTGATTCAAAGAGTCGCATTCTACGAGAGATGGTTTCATTAGGAAATTAATATATCATTAGTATTGAGTAGTAAAGATGCCTTACATCACATAATCAGCCTTAATTTATCAGCACTACTTAATGCAGCATTTAGGCTACTGTTTCATAAAAGAAATATTACTTAAGTGTAAGACCAAAGGATTCACATCGTTTAAGTTGTTAAGTTTAGTTTCTCTAAAATCTTAACTCATTAAAACAACAATAATGAGCCTGGCTCTCAGATGAATCATCGTCAATGTTATAGCGCCATCTGCCGAAGACATCATAGAGTCAATTATTGCGCGTTCTCGGTCTCAAGAACGCGCACGTCCTTCTGTCAAAACAAGGAAGTCCTCCCCCCAGCTCCATGGATCTGGCTGGTGCATAAACCATGGGTTGGTAGTGTTAGCGGTGATAGCACGATGGATCGCACTGAATGAACCTGCGGTGATCACTTCCAGTATCTCTCACCATACACACTTGACATGTTGATGGTTTCCAGAGTAGATTCCTCTGGGCTTAAACTCGACAAGTGACAGAAGGTAAGGATATAATGGCACGTTTTAAAGCTTATCTAGGAAAATGGTTGTGTTACAGTGTTTCTAACCCGTGGACGTGATGTGATGGTAGTATCTTGAGTTAGAGCACTGGTATTTTCGCTCTTTGTGTGGTAAATATAATAATTATTGCACGTTATTACATACAGTATTTTCATAAACCAAAGTCAAGACACAGGGGCTACTGTAGATCATATTTTATTTCTTTCCTGTCTTTCAGTGATAATATAATACAAATATTTTGACAGTTTACTTAGAGACTGATAGCACCTGGTTTACAGTGCTGTAATTACCCATAGTCACTTATTGTAAATAATAGCTTTTTCGTATCATTTATAGTTAATTTCTTTTTCTTAGACAATTTTTAAACTCTATTTAGGGTTTAATTTTGTGTGGTATTTTGGTATTTTAATCAATTATTTTTTACTGCTGCTCTCCCTGCACTTTGATGTTGTAACACTACAGCCTCCCCATTGTGAGAGAAATAAAAGTTCTCTCTTCGATTACAATTACATTCTTCAGAGAGCCCATTGATCTTTGCGCTACAACCAACGTGTAATTTTCCAATGATACTATTATACAGTTTCTCCTTTCACTACATTATTTTCTGCTCTTAGTGATGTTAAGATGAGGCGCCTGTCCCGGAAGAAGGCCCTGAGCCTGGTGAAGGAGTTGGACGCCTTCCCCAAAGTCTCTGAGAGTTACGTGGAGACTACAGCATCAGGAGGAACTGGTCAGTCATCCTTGTTACTTCCATACCTTAACTTCTGTTTACAGCAGTAAGACAAATGTAATCATTGCTTTTTATTTTCTGCAGTATCACTTTTTGCTTTTACTGTCATGGCGGTTTTAGCTATTTTAGAGTTTTTTGTTTACCGAGACACATGGATGAAATATGACTATGAAGTTGACAAGGACTTTTCCAGGTTTGTTCAGAATTACAATTAATGTTTTTGTTGTCACACCAAGATTAAAAATTTTGACTTTTGTTTCCAGTAAATTACGGATAAACATTGACATTACTGTTGCCATGAGATGTCAGCGTGAGTATCCACATATTAAAGGAAATAAAATATATCAACTGGAGGTTTTACATAATTTTTACATTTATGTTTTTATCAATACAGAGGTGGGTGCTGACATTTTAGACCTAGCTGAAACAATGATTACTTCCAATGAACTGCAGTATGAGCCTGTAAGTTTTGCAAGTCCCTAAATATTGCTACATAATTTCAGTCTTCAAATTCTGTTCTTTATGCCATTTTAGGTTGTTTTTGACCTGAGCCCTCAACAAAGACTGTGGCAAAGGTAAGAAGTAAGAGTTACATTTGAGACTTTATTAGCTGAATCTGGTTTGTCCAGATTCCATTAAGTATTGTTCAGAGCAGGTTGTTAGGTTAGGTTGCATTATTCGTACCCGTAGGTAAAATTGCTTTGCAGATTTAAGAGACAGGTTCCACATTTCACATTTCATTCATCCACAAAACACACATAAAAACACAATAAAGTGTTACAATAAAGTGTTACAGTGCTCCAGTGCAGAATGGTTTGTTCCATAAACAACCAATTAAAATCATCCAACACGCTTGTCTAAAATCATAATAAATAAATCTTAAATATGTTAAAAACACACAATCTTAGATAAATAGATTACAATTTAATCATAAGTACGATAGCAGTTGGAACAAAGCTCCTTTTAAAACGATTCATTCTAGATCTTGGGACTAAAAACCTCTGACCAGAGGGAAGCAGCTGAAACTCTGAGTTTAGTGGATGTTGCACTTCTCCCAAAATACTCTGGGACATCCTCTGTAAGTGTCTCAAGTACAGAGAATCCAGGCTGCTCTGAGGATGGCCAATAACCTTACTCGCCCATTTAACCATCTGATTCAGGGAGTTCTTGTTTTTAGCAGAAATGCTCCCAAACCACGAGACCAATGAAAACGTTAAAACTGATTCCATAAATGTTTTATAAAACAGTGTCATCATGGTTCTGTCTACACGGTAAAAGGACATCTTTCTTAGACTGTGAAAGCGCTGGTGGCCTCTTTTACACACACCAGAACAATTATCGTCAAAACTCAATTTTGAATCAATGAGTGTTCCAAGATATTTATATGAGTCCACACACTCAACTGACTGCCCCTTTATCTCTGTGACATCACACTTGTCGTTGTGGTTGTTTTTGCTTCCAGGGCTTTGCTTCATATTCAGAGCCGTCTGAGAGAGGAACACGCTCTACAAGAAGTGCTTTACAAAACTCTGATGAAAGGAGCCCCCACTGCCCTCCCTCCCAGGTCAGTCACACTAGTCCTGCTATTGAAATGCATTTTTGACAATAAATAATGTATGGAATTTCTTTAGGGAGGATGCTGCCACAGAACCTCCTAATGCATGCAGAATACATGGATATGTTTATGTGAACAAAGTAGCTGGGAACTTTCATATCACTGTAGGAAAGTAAGGAGCTCATTGACTTACAGTATATAATGTATTGCTCTGTAATTGCATGAACATATTTTAAATGCATATCTCTTCTACAGGCCCATTCACCATCCACAAGGACATGCACACATAGCTGCTTTTGTGAGCCATGAGAGTAAGCAACTGTAATGTATTTTTTAATTTTAATGCCATTGTCATGCTAGTGATTTTCAGTACACATACATACGTATATGCTAATTAAGTTGTAGCTTGTATTATGCTTGTACCTGAATACAGTACTCACATCATCTTTCGGTTTCAAGTGTACAACTTCTCCCATCGAATCGACCATTTATCCTTTGGTGAGATGATACCAGGTGTGATCAATGCTCTAGATGGCACTGAGAAAATCACCTCCAGCAGTAAGCCTCCTTTGCTAAATTAAGCTACAAGAAAAATATAGTTTTTAATGTGTGTACATTTCTATTTAAAGATAGCCAGATGTTCCAATACTTTATCACTGTTGTTCCTACCAAACTCCACACTTATAAGATATCGGCAGACACACACCAGTTTTCAGTAACTGAAAGAGTGAGTGTTTATAATATACTATACAACACCAGTTTTCTGTAAATTCTCTCAGGCATTTTTAGCATATGTTTTTACAGGAGCGGGTGATAAACCATGCAGCAGGAAGCCATGGTGTATCCGGCATCTTTGTTAAGTATGATACAAGCTCTTTGATGGTGACAGTCAGAGAGCAGCACATGCCCCTGTGGCAGTTCCTGGTGCGACTCTGTGGTATTATTGGAGGCATTTTCTCCACAACAGGCAAGTTCAACACAAGACTAAAAATAGAGCCTCTTCTTATTACGGGGAAATGTCAGACTCATTTGTCTTGCCTGTATCCACACAGGCATGCTCCATGGGCTAGTTGGTTTCTTTTTTGACATTATTTGCTGTCGCTTCAGACTGGGAGTCTGTAGGGAAAGAGAGGTATTTGCTAACAAAAAAACAGAATAAGAAAAAAAAAAAAAAAAGTGACATCTGATCTTTTTCTGGTTATGCAGGTGCAAAATGAGATGAACAATGTGAACCATCATCAAACACCACTGTTGGCTGACCAGGTTCTTGAAGAATAAAAGTGATTACTATCTTCGTTATTTTATATGATTACTTTGGTGTTTCTCCTGCAAAAGCACAACCAAGATTGTTCTAAGGTCAAGTTATTTATCATTAAATCCACTTTTAAAAGCCTCATCAATTTGTTGCTGAACCTTTTTTGTGAAAGTCTAATTGTGTATAAAAGTAGCTGTCCACTCAAAATGTTATGTGTAAGTAATCGAAATGCTTTTCACCTTTTTATTGAAACACAAGACATTTTATTTTATTTTCATTTATTTTTGATGTACCAAGCAGAATTTACTCAAATTTCAGAGCAGGAAATAAAGGCAAGACCTTTTCTAAATAACATTACAAAATAAAAGCTGAACTTAATGTAGATTATAGCACGTCGTAGTATTAGCCCTGGAGTGAGCTAAGTGCAATTTGGTTTATAACAGAGAAAAAATAATTTGTGAATGGGACACAAAATAAGCAACATTTAAATTAGTGACAAAATTGTCATATTAGCCCTGTACCTCTCCAAGGACATGTACGACCAAACCGATGGCAAACAAAAACTCTGTGGTTAATCACAGACAGGTTTGCAGAAACATTTAGAACCTCTGTCTCCAATGAAGGCTCTGCTCATTCACCTGTATTCACCTGCAACAGTCACAAAACACAAATAACACTGTATACTGGTCTTGACTGAGTGATTCTGTGTTGGACCATGAGTAACAACTCAAAATAATTTAGTTGTCAACAGGAATAATTTAACTACTTATTTACATAACTTTTGTGACTTAGATCAACAGATGTAATAACATCTACATTGGATCTCTATTTCATGTATGTGTTGTTGCATCGCCTTTATAAAAGTACATGGCATGTGTCACTGAAAATAAACAAATGTGGTCAGATCATATACACTACCTGCCACTCACTGTCCTGTGCTCCTCTAAAATACACACTGTTTTGTCCTGGTATCTCATAGAGCACCACTGGACTCATAAAAGCACAAATACTGACAGCACGCTTCAGACATCAATATGCAGACTTTCTATTTTAGTCAAGGGCCATTTGATTCAAATTCAGTATTTAACATCACCAAATGTTCATGCAGGGCTAACTATTCAAATTAATGTTGTTTATGCAATTCTTCAAAAATAAACATGCCATTAAAATGAGATGACTGTGTACTGTTGAGAGTGACACTGTGATAATTAATGTACCGTGGTAGTCATATTCATTTATAATACATAAGTTCTGCCACATTGATATACAACCCAAGTATAAAGATGTAAAAGTTGTAAACTCGGTTCCAATACAAACCACTGTACAAACAGGCAAAAAGTTGATGAGTATTCACAGAAAGGTGTTTAAAGACAGTGAAAATATTCCGAAAATAGATAACTTAACAAACATTTAGTTGTTTTAAAACTAGTGTTGTCCCAATAATCTAGATTGGTCTTGAGACAGATGTTTATGAGTATGCAGTATTAAAAGGCAGTAGACAAAGCAAGAGTATTAAATCTCATACTTTCAAAGTAAAATAAAAAAAGACAAAAATGATTAAATTCCCTCCTCTGACTGGAGCTCTGCCACGTTCAAGTATGAAAAAATTCATCACAAGGCAAGGCAACCTATCTAAATTCAGAAGAATGGAAACAATTATATGGGAAGAAAGTCTAACAAACAAAAGGCTTCTGGTTGCATATATAATTGGCCACTTTTGGAGGAAAACAGTAGGTATCAAACTGATAATGTTTCTGTGGATGGGCTTGGTTACAGTTTTCTGTATGTACTGAAAGTCCATGAGAAAGACTTCATGGCTGTAGTCCTCTTTGCCTCCATACATGTCTGTTCACAGTGAGGAGGAAAGTTTTTCTGAAGGTGAGAGCTGCTGGACTGCAGCAGCGAGGAAGACTTACTTAGTCAGAGTGCTGGATGCGCGGAAGTATGACAGGAACTTGAAACAGAGACTAACCACAAAGTACCAGATGTTTCTGGCCATTTGTGATCGTGCAATGAACACTCTCCAGATGAAAACCACCAGCACTGTGTTGAAGGTGTATCGAATGTTCCTCAGTCTGGAATGCGGTCATAAGAAAGAGGGACATTATGTATTTTATGTATATTATGTACTGTAATACTGAGATCCTTGTGAATGGTTATAGTTAAGCACTTACTTCCTCAGGTGCTGTCTAGCAGCAGGAATGTCTGACATGTCCTCATTCAGAACATATTTCTTCGTACCAATGCAGTAATTTTCAATGTACTCAGGCCAATTCAGTTGACGTACATCAAAGTTAAATGCCTGAAAAAAACCATAGGGTAAATCTCGGTAGCTTCCTTTACTCATAAAACTGTGGGTGACCTTTCACGTTCAGCCACAAGAGGGAGCATAACTCATTGAGAGTAATTGAGATACACATTGATGCTGCATGGCAGATTTAATAAGCACAATGTGCTCTATAGCCACAGTGTGTAACCTGTACGTAAGTGTGGTTACCTTCCTGTCCTCTGGCGTGAGCTGACTCATCAGCATGTTCATGTTCTCTGAGTTCCAATCCCAGTCCTGACTGCTGAAATACTCCAGCAAACCAATGGCTTTGTGAAGACGATTGAAAATTCTCATCATCCTGAGAACACACAATGGGGTTCAAGTGAATATACTCAAAATAAGCCACAAATGTTAAATACACCTTTAATATAAAAAAATCTTACTGTGGTTTCTGGCCTGAGAGACGTAAGAATAAGTCATATATAAAGGCAGGTAGCTTGTGGCTGACCAAAATCCAGTACTGGTTCATCAGATAGTTTGAGGTAATGTTGGCATTAGGTCTGCGGAAAGCTTGCTCCAGAGGGTTCCTCTTAAAGGATGACATCACATGATGCTCTATATAAAGACATTGAAACGTTTCGTATATTTTTAGGTTGTCACGGTAAATCTCAGTTTATCTCTATGTCTAATGACATGGCACAAAAGGGACCTTACGCATGAGATAAAACCCATCAGCACAATCATTTCCTTCTAGGGTGGATCTTCCTCCTCCCAATATCCAGTAGTAGCCATACACAGAGGCCTTCCTCATGTGACTACAGATATTACATCACATTCAGCACAAAATAGGCCTGCTCCACCTGTTTCCATGACAACCACATTGTGGTTTCAGGAGCCATTGAGCCAATCTGAGATGCTAGCCAGCTTGGGCATGGCATGGCCACATAATGTGCCAGTCAGACTCTAGGTGCATGTGCTAAGTGCTAAAACACCCATAAGAAATGACACCAATAAATGTGTGTATGCATATATGTTTGCAATACATACAGTACATGATGCTGCTTATTGCATTTACCCTGTATCCACTGATTAGCTGTTCGACAGCTTTCATTTAGACCAGTGGGATTAGAGGACACAGTTGCACTTTCATAACAGTGAATTACACTGATGAGACCTAATCCCACTATGGGCCATCTGGTTTCAATTTCCTCGGTGAAGGAGCGTATTTGCTAATCTGAGAAAAAAACGGGTGAAGGGCCTCCTGCTGCCAGACGCTAATTCACATGACCAAGAGACAGAACTGCAGATCTGCAGGGAAGTGACCCTGACTGTGTTTTAGTAATATGTCTGCTGTAGAGTCACAAGGATCATTATCTTTGTCAAGACAAGACAGACGTAGCCTTTATATACCACAGCACCCACATTTAAACAGGGCAAAGTGATAAGTACACACTCTAGTATCTTTTTGGACTAAATCTGATATTAATGAGTGTATTAATACCATATGACTTGGATAAAAAAGATGACAAAAACTGACAAAAAGTCAAAGAAACATTTGATTATTATTATTAGCTTAAAAAAATCTTTTCAGTGTAATGCCATTCTCCACTAGGTGGCAGAAGCCATCTGAAAACACCCTCACAGTAGTCTACACAGTAGACACTACTGGATCTTCATAGCAACCACACTGCCACTAAGCATTGATTTTTGACAATGAAAGATTAGATTAGAACAATATCGTGGGACACTACATAAGCAATCTTTAAATAACAGACTGTAGTTACAGGTCTCTGTTACCACAGAACAAGACCACAAACTATGTACCTACCAATCTCTCCCCAGTGGAAAGGGTTGATGCCACCAGTTGTGCAATTGTACACCAGTGCGGTTTTAGGCCTGTGTGGGGAAGAGAGACAGTCTCTTGCTCACAAATGTCAAAACTATGGAGTTACGATTATTAATAGTATTGACACATGTATAAAATTCCCAGTATCTATGACATTATATTATCTTTCATTATATTGATTTGCTGTCGCGATGAATTAATGCTTTAAAACTCTGTAGGATGCACACATAATATGACAAATCTTTGGCATTATTACTGTTCTATGTTACAAAGTTCAATATTATGACATATCAAATTAATAATTGGAATAGACTTTTACTTAGTTTGAAACCCAAACCTGTGTACAGCAGTGTACCAGCCTGCCGCCAGAGTCAGGTTGATGACGACATCTACAGGAATCAGATCTGCTACAGCCTCATTGTTGGCCCTCATGGTTCGCAAGATCCCTTTTCCAGCCTGATGCAAAACTTAACATTAGACATTCAACTAGCATAGTAATTTATCAAGATGCAGTGGGTTTAACTTACAGCAATAAAGACTCCACTTGGCCCATTGAAGTTGTCGATCCAGCCCTGAAATAACAAGATCAAATGTTATGTTGTGTTCTCCTGGCACCCTTTTACAATTGCTTACTATTGGACTATTATTATTACTACATGAGATGATGTACTGTATGTCCTAATGTAAGCTTATGTGGACATGTTAGCTGTTCACAATTATGTTATTTCCTGTGGAGGGGAACAGTGCAGGCAGCTGTCTACTTCAATTAGGCTTCATTTATAATGGATGAAACTACAGATTGTAGACTGGATCAGCAGTGCAGAGGAGAGTCCCATTATGTGGTCAAAGATACTGACCGCATAATGGGATCTTCAAAGTGCACTGAATATAAAGTTGTAAAGGTGGCATAGTATATGAGAAATATATAGAAGCAATAGTATGAGAAAATAAAGGGAACAGGAAAACCCTCCCAAGCACAGAGCTCGTTTGTGAAGGTTTCCACAGCAATTGTATGATAGATCATGA